CTTAATGAAGCTTATGAAGTTCTAGCCTTCCCGATTTAGCTCCGGCGAAACTCCGGCGAACTTCAACGAACTCCGGCGACAACTCCGGCGACTCTTTCAACTCTGTGAAAGTTCCTTGAATACCTTAGACAAGTTACTAACAATGTTTTATCATCATAAAACCCATAGTAATACACATAACCCCCAAAGGTTGTTTTCCGGCGAACCGGTTACTTTGGCTTCTAAGTCTGTTCTTGGACTTAGAACCACCTTCCAACCCCTCATTCTACACTTCCAAACGTGTAGGACAAACCTAGGGTGTGGAATATGATTTTATAATCGTATAAAATGATTGAAGAACAAGAAATGGGGTTTATGAAGTCATTACCTTGTTAAACACAAGTTTTCCCACCTAAACTCCTCTTTTCTCTTCTCTTTTTCCTTTCTTCTTCCTCCCTCCACTTGGTGCGTGTATGATGGATGAAAATGGAGTTCTTGCAGAGCTTCTTTCCTCCAAAATGATGGTTGGGACGCAGTGTATGGGCTGGGGTGGTTGAGAGTGTCCTTTTTGGATCATTCATCAATGATATGAGGGAGGGACCCCTTTTCTTTCACACTTTGTCCCCCATCCTCCTCACTCTCTATCAGCAGCCAAAAGGTGTGGCTCCCCTTTCCATTCTCAAGCCTAAAAACGTGGGTTGGCCCCCACTTATGTGGGAGGTCAACCCTTTGTGTACCTGAGTGTACAATCGGTCCCGAAAGTTGTATTCTCCGGACTGTTTTAAGTATATTTTATTTTATCGGGTCAAATAAAATATAACACTTGTTCCCAATCCTTATTGGACCTTAGAATCAATATGCATTTCCCAACTTTAATTTAGAAGTCTCCGAAATCCCTTTTTGGGCTGTCATCTGATAAATTTGCTGATACCGATAATTTGGCCCCGTTTGACCAACCGGTCAACTATATGCCATTGCCATGGCCCAATTAGGATATCCACCACCATATTCATATTATCTAGTCCAAGATTAATATAATACGTGGTCCCGATAATATCGGACGGCCCTACATCCGGTGTGGGCCCCACGTGAATTTTACTATTCACGTAATAGAAATAATAAAAATTTACAATCACGTAAAAATGCTTTTATACATTTCTTCGAGGTTCAATACATAATTTGGTACAGTACAAATACTCGGGGGCGGTGTTACACTCTTCTTCTTTTATCTTTGCATTAACCGTTCATTATTTTTTTGTCTTTTTTTCTTTCATCCCCTCCTTCATGCCATCTATAGATTTCAACAATGAAATTGGAAAATCTAATTCGAATTTCCCCTTACTTGAATCGGAACTTGATCGGCTTCTAACATGAGAAGCTGTACTTGAATTTTACATTTTTACAAAATTTTCTTCTCCAATTCTGTTTTTCTTCTTTTCCTTGGGACTGGGGCGTGAAAATGTTAGGGGATATGAGGATCTCGGTCAGTCCATGTTTCAGAGTCGTCGCCCGACTGACCCAACTGCTCTTCATCGCGAACTGCATCATCTTATCTGCTCTTCATCTCCGTCCATCTGTCCGTCTTATTTGCTCTTCATCGACGTCATCCGTCCGTTCAACCGTCTTCATCACCGACCGCATATTATCCCGCCCCTGTTATTCTTTATTGTCTGTGCGATGAATATTGGCTGGAGAGCATTAAACCACTTTGTTCAGCTTTTGTTTTCCTTTTAATTTGTTTTACCTATTGTCTAAGTTGCAGGTCATGTGGATCAATTTGGGAAGATTACCTACAAATTTCAGATTATTATAGAATAATGTATATTTGGGATTAATATTGGAAGACCATGGATAGTTGAGATTATTCTTGTGAATTTTTCCTAAGATATAAAGCTCGACTTGTTGCCCAAGGTTTTTCTCAAATGCCGGGAATTGATTATGAAGAAACCTATTCTCCAGTAGTTGATGCAACTACATTAAGGTTTCTCATTGGCATGTCTGTTTTTGAAAGGCTGCAAATGCGCCTAATGGATGTAGTGACTGCATATTTATACGGTTCACTCGATACAGACATTTACATGAAAGTTCCCGGAGGATTTAAAATGCCTGAAGCTTATAGCTCGAAACCTTGAGACATGTTTTCCATTAAATTACAAAAGTCATTGTATGGATTAAAATGATCTGGACGAATGTGGTATAATCGTCTCAGTGAATACCTACTCAAAGAAGGATATAAGAATGATCCAATAAGTCCACGTGTTTTCATTCGGCGATCAAATTCGGGATTCGCCATAATTGCAGTTTATGTCGATGACTTAAACATTATTGGAACTCCCGATGAAATTAAAAATATTGCAAATTAGAATTTGAAATGAAAGATCTCGGGAGAACCAAATTTTGTCTCGGACTTCAAATTGAGCATTTGAAGAATGGAATTTTCATCCACCAATCCAACTACACCGAGAAAGTTTTGAAACGGTTCTATATGGACAAAGCTCATCCTTTGACTTCACCAATGGTCATTCGATCTCTCAACATACACGATGATCCATTCCGTCCCCGAGAAGACGATGAAGAAATACTTGGTCCCGAAGTACCATATCTAAGTGCTATTGGAGTTTTAATGTATTTAGCTAATAATACTAGACCAGATATTGCATTTTCTGTAAATTTATTAGCTAGGTACAGTTCATGCCCAACAAGACGTCATTGGAACGAGATCAAACACATTTTCCGTTATCTACGTGGTACAGTTGATCTCGGTTTATTCTACCACAAAGATGCAAAAGCTGCTTTAATTGGATATGCAGACGCTTGATAGTTATCAGATCCTCAAAAGGCGAAATCACAAACCGGGTACGTATTTATTTATGGTAACACCGTAATGTCATGGAGATCTATGAAGCAGACATTGACAACTACATCATCAAATCATTCGGAGTTAATTGCATTATATGAAACCGGAAGAGAGTGTGTATGGCTGCGGTCTATGATTTAACACATCCAAAATGAATGCGTTATGAAGCCTATTACTTGTCACCCGATTGTGATCTACGAAGACAACACCGCGTGCATAGCTCAGATTAAAGAAGGCTACATCAAAGGAGACAGAACGAAACACATATCACCAAAGTTCTTCTCTACTCATGCTCTGGAGAAAGAAGGGACGATCAACATTCAACAAATCAGATCCTGTGAAAATCCGGCTGATCTCTTTACCAAATCTTTACCCCCTGAAGAAGTTCATAGAACTTGTACAGAAAATCGGCATGCGTCGCCTTCATAATTTATGCTAAGTTCAGGGGGAGTATTTGAATGCACTGCACTCTTTTTCCCTTTATCAGTTTTTTATCCCACTGGGTTTTTCCTGATAAGGTTTTTAACGAGACAGTACATCCAAATACAATGACATTATAAGTCGTAATATTTACCCCTTAATTTTCACAATAATTTTTTTAAAATAATGAATATCTATTCAAGGATGAACATTCAAGAGAGATTGTTGTAAAATCAACAAAATGACAAGTGTGAATTGTTCATCCTTGTCATCAGGATACTAATCATATTCAAGTCCTTGTAATAGACAGATGACTAGGTTTTATGTTGCCAACAAATTATGTAAAATCATTCTTTGATGATTCATCTCCCAGGCAACTAGTATAAATAGGGTGATCAATCATTTGTAAATTTAACTCAAAAATTCAGAAAATCTTTACATTAAGAAGAAGTAAAATATCCAGAGATTATAATCTTTATATCTATCCCATATCTATACTTCATCTTCTTCATTTTATAATATGATGATAATTTTCTTTCTTTCTTTACAAGGTCTTAAACGTATTACTTCGTAGTAATTTTTCCTCAACAATGTCAACTATAATATCTACATCTAGATGTTCTAATAGAAAAACTTATCAAAATCATATAAAAACGTTGAATAACTACATTCTACTTATTAATTTTTGTGTCTGTCTATCTTTCATGTGCACCGTCCAATTTGATTTCTATAATCTTTAATTTCATCCATCTTGGCCGGCGGGTTTCAAGTGGGTTACCCCTTGCCCGGGTACTGTCCCTTGAAAATGCACGTAAAACTTACTTCCTCCGATCCCTATTAAAGTTCTCAGTTTGACTTCACACAAATTAAGAAAATAAATTTGACTTTATTGTGAAATGCACTGTTTGGCACTGTTTGGACACTGTTTAACACTGTTTGGCATTGTTTTACACTGTTTTGTTTCCTACAATGAAAGTGTGAACTTAAATAAGGGACATCCCAAAAAGGAAATTGGGAACTTTAATACGGACCGGAAGGAGTAATAAACTGCTCCTCCATGTGTCCCATCTTAAAGTTCTTATTTGGATTTACTTAAAAAAAAAAAGCTTGAATGAGCATTTTTAAATTTAAGTTGCATAGATTTAAAATTCGACCAATTTCAGATGTTTTCAGTATAGAATATAGAAGATTCTAAATAAATTTGGGATTTCCCAAATTAAGAATTACATTCACTACTTTAAGATTTGAAAGTACTCAATTTTGATGGATTTCTATGGCCGGACTCTATTCAATGGCAGATTTTAGTTGTTTTTACGGATTTCTGAATTAAATAGATTCTTATAAAAGCCCGGCCGCCCGGGTACCTATCCTCGTATTCCACTGAATTTTATAAAGAACAACGGAAAGAACTCTATCAATCCTTCAAGATCTTTTAACACAGAATCTTCCATTATTTTTTTAAATTTTAATTTAGTTTACATAAAAAATTTAGAAAATAAATAGTATGAATAGGGATGGCAACAGTGCGGTTCGAAGTCGGGTATACCATTATCCGTACCCACCCCGTTTGATAATATTTTTCCCCGAAACCGTCCCGATATCCGTCGGGTATTTTTTACCCGCGGATAACGGTTTTCCCCGCGGGTAACCATTTTATTAAAAGGTACGTAGTAATTTTTTTCAATGGTTCAAGTTTTTTAATAGTCAAATAAAGAAAAAATTGACAGATTAAACGGAAGGAGAATTGTACTACGTATTTGTATTAAATGACATTCATAGCAGGGGTAGTAACAATCTTCAAGTTCTAATGTATGTTTGCAAATTGCGATTTGCAAATCGCAAATAAATAAATTAAACTATAACTAAATAATGGAAGGCAAAATAAAAATTTCATGCTCTACTGCATTGCTAATTAACGTACAGCTGCAATTTTCCTGTTCAGGAGAAGAAAGAGAAGTTGAACGGAAATGCTGTGGCGGCGGCCGGCTCCATCGCCAAGAACTCGCCGTGCTCGTCACCCATGGCGGCATCGCCGAACATACTGCAATACCCTCCTCCGGCCTCTTCTTCGTCGTGAATATTTTCTTCCAGTTTACAATTATTACTATTAGTAGTAGTGGTAGTAAAATTATTATTACTACAGTGTAGTAGTAGGTCATCATGATCACGTCTGGACGAGGGGTGGAGAAGCTGATGGGTGAGATTTGCTGAGGTGGCGGAGGGCGGCGGCGGCTGCTGCCAGACGATATTTTTGGCGGAGGAGGGTCTGGATGAAGAAGCGCCACCGCCACCGCCGAAATTTACATGACGGTGGTCGTCGACAGTAAAAATAATGCTGCCGCTGTTGGTCTCACTGGCGTTGTTTGCGGTGTTCCAAGAACAGCCTTCCATTTCGTGGTTCAGATTTATCGTGGCGGGCCCCACATCCTTTGATTCTCTATTCCTCAGTGCCAGTAACTGCAGCTAGATCACAATCATCACGCATTTATCAAATGTTTGAAAACCAATCATTTGGTTATTATTATTATTACCCTAAAAGTGAAATTTATTTAATACTATCTCTCGCCCCAATAATTTTGCCAAGTTTGACCGACACGTGGAATAATAAAGTAAAAATTGTGTGATTGAGGTTTGTGCAGAGGAGAAAGAATGAACTGGAACCACAAATTCTTTAGTTAAAAGGGAACGTGACAAAGTTAGTGAGACATTCAAGAAAAGAAAGTTGACAATGTTATAAGAGATGGACGGAGTACTCCATAAAATAGAAAAAGTTTCCACTCTTGGAGTAGGACCCCATTGTCTATCACATGTTATCTAATTTGCATACATATTTTTATAATTTGATTAATTAAACAGGCATTATAACTTCCACCATTATTTTATCCTTTTTTCTACATTTAGGGTAGTCAGTATATTACATCCTGAGTCAACTAATTAAACTTCCGGTTTCTTGGTATACGGGATCGACTTTAACATTAATTATAGAGAAATTTCTTAAATAGGAATAAAAAAGTTTTGAAATTTCAAAATAGGACTATCATGTTTTTTATTTCTTGAATAAGAGTAAATTTCTGCCAAGTTTGGAATTACTAGGCTTTAAAACATGACATTTTTTTCCAAATTTGGCAGATTACTCCTATTCAAGGAATAAAAATATGATATTTCTATTTTGGAATTTCAAAACGTTTTTGCTCCTATTTAGAGAATTTTTTGTTAATTATACTAGTAGTATTTACTCTAATCTTCATACATGAAACTTTGTCAAATTTGACTTGCGGGTAAAATAATAAAATGAAAATTGCATGGTTGAAATTTGTGTTGATAAGATAAAACCTATTTTAATTACATATTTATTACGTACTTTATTACGGCAAATTAAAGCGAAGATTTAGTTAAGTTTTATGAGACGGGAGAGTACAATTCTAAATTAGAATAGGTTTACAAATAGCATTGCATTTAGTTTATGAGTATTATTTTAAGAAAAGAATCATTATTATCCAATTTTCACAGTTTTTTTATCTTTGTGATATTTAAGCAATTTTCTCTTACTATTATTAATGTTGGTAAGAGTAAAATGTTGATAAAGAAATACTCAGTAGAAGTTATCTCGTACTAATAAAGAATAAAAACAGTTTTAGAAAATTATTTTCCCGGTGATTCAGTCTTGTTTTGAAAAGAATTAGTATTCACTTATTAATCACTCATTATATTGTAAAAACATATCATGTACTATTGTACTAATAAAGTGTTTTTTAGGGAATACTAATAGTGTTTAATAATCCTTCCTTGAGAGTTGTGGTATTATAATACTACTAGAACTTTTTCAAAGGTAATCAACTTTGGCCACTGTCTTTGACTCAAAGTTAAAGTCAAAGTAGAACTTTTACAAAGAAAGATGGAGTGTTTGTGAGGTTGACTTGTAAGAATTACAAACGCATGCCAAATACAAAAACCTAAACCCCCATACATGTATAACTTCAAACCTTAATATCGTGTCAAATTTGTTTTGTTTGGCTAATAGTACTAGTAAGAATACGTAAGCTCAGATCATATACTCCCTCCATCTCTAAAAGAACTTACAATTTTCTCTTTTCGTTCGTCCAAAAAGAACTTCACTTTTCTTTTTACCAAAGAATTTATGGTTCACAACAATTCTTACACGTTCTTACATATTTCTCTTTCCTCTGCACAACTCTCCACCACATAATTCTCACTTTTTTAATCCGTCTGACAGTTGTACTTCGGAAGAATTTGAATTTGAAATTTATATACATATAGTTGATAATTGGTGGAATTTAATTAATGAGATGATTAGTGTTAATTATACCTCACAGTGAAGTTTCTTGTTACGAGATTTGAGGGCATTATTGTCAGAAGAGAGGGCTTCAAGCTGCCTCTTCAACAAATCGTAATCCTTCTCCAACTGCTTGGTCTTAGATCTGGCGCGGCGGTTCTGGAACCAGATCGCGATCTGCCGCGGCTGCAACCCTAGAGCCCTCGCCAGCTCCATCTTCCTCTCCGGCTCCAGCTTGTTCCCCTGCTCGAAGCTCTTCTCCAGCGCCTTCACCTGCTCCAATCCTAGCCGCCGCTTCTTCTCCCCCAGCTGCGCCGACGACCCGTCATCTGACATCTCGTCCTCGCCGCCCCGCGGCCGCCGCATCATCACATTATCCTCCCCGTTGTCCCACCCCATGTCCGCGCCGCCGGTGATGAACGACGACGACGCGCCCGATCTCCTCCGCCTCATCAGTATCTGCGAGATGCTGTTATTGTAGTCCAGATGGTGGGAAGGGATGCTGAAATATTGGGGTTCGTCGGGGTTTTGAAAAGTGGTGATTGACGAAGCTTCTGGTGGCGGCGGCGGAAGGGGTGAGGCGAAAGTCATTATGCCGCCGCCATTGCCGCCGGAGATCATGTCCATCATCATGCAATATTATAAGGTACTTGCTGAATTAAATTTGGGTACTGAAGAGTGAAGATAATAATGGCCAGTCAACTCGATTTCCCTCTGCTTTAACGAATTTAGGCAAGCAGTGATATGATGGGCTGGTCGAGATTGCTCCTGCTATGGAAGTAATTAAAGGGGGGAGAGGGAGAGAGAAAGTGAGATGGGGAAAGAGAGAGAGAGGGAGGGGATGTTATGGCCGGTAGGAGTGGGAACATGAAGGGGGAAAGAGAACATGGGGTGGCAATATGTCAAGACTGTGAGCCAGCGTGTAATAGAGATATATTCACCACCTATATATATACTCGTTCTTGTGCCATATGGAGGATGGTTTGAGCCGTGGTCCATAATAGATCATATCAGACTTAAATAGATCGTACTAGACATTAAAGGACTTCAAAAAACTTGATCAGGCCAGATTTCAATAGTTATAAATACATATAGATCAGACATCTTACTAGATCAGATCGGACAATTCTGATCAGACCAAATCAAACTTAAACAGTTCAAATCAGATCATATTAAAAGATTACAGTCCAAATAAATACATCCTAAATTCATATTTTCCTTTTCAAGTTTATAGAAAAGTTTTATTGTGTATTCACCAAATGTTTCATAGAAACTTTTTACTGTGTATTCACCTAATATCCTTACCTTTTTATCTTTAGAAGTTGCTCAATATAAGGCCCAGGTCATAGAAAAAGTTAGAAAATAGATGTAAGTATGTTTATTCCTTAAAGGAGACTTATTTAGTCCTATAAAAAAGATTGATTTATATAAAACTCTAAGTGAATGACTCCTATTTAAAAGTAACACAATGATAGTGGTATTTAGGAAATTTAACTCTTTTATCTTTACTTTCCACCGGGCCTCGGACACTTATCATCTAACTCTACCCACCACTATCCCACTAACGAAGCTCTTACTACTTTGTATCTCGCTTCTTAGTCTCATCATTTACTCTCACCCAAACTCTTTCTCTCTTCACGTCTTATCTTCTCCCTCTTTTCTCACCACTAATTTTTAGGGGTGGGCATAAAACCCGAACCAAACCGGTACCGAATCGTCTCGTAATGGTACCGAACCGAATACCGGGTATTTAAACAGTTCTATAGATTTTTATCCCGTACCGAAACTGTACCGTTTGAAACGGGTACGGGACCGGTCCTAGATTTTGAGAACCGAAAAATACTGGACCGAACCGTTCGTATATAATGCATTTGAATTTTTTATATTTTTTCTATATCAATAGATCTAGACCAACAATTTTATACCCCAAATGATGGAGTATATTCTCATATATCCCAGGGGTATCAGGATCGCCGGCATAAACATCACGAGTCTATCCCAGAGTGCATAAAACTACTAAGTCCATAACTGGGAACTGACCCCGACCCCGACCCGCCAAGGTCGGGACAAAGCGCCAGGAACAAAACAACTAAGGACAGAAAGTCAGCCGACCCCGACCTCGACCTTCGAGGTCGGGAAAACACCAGGCTCAAGAATCGTCTGAACTCGACAGGTTATGAGCCCGACCTCGAAAGCACCGAGCTCGACACCAACCCTGAGCTCGGGCATCAACACAGAGTCGATCAGAATCAAGCGAAGGAGTCAACGACCTCGAATATAGAGCTAAAGTCAGAAGACGCTTTTCCTAGTGATGAGCCCGAGTCTTCAGACAATGACCTCAGTAGGCTCGGGGCCTGATCAAGGCACTGTGGACTTGGACAAAATATATGAAGACAAATGACCCGAAGGAGTACTGCCACGTCACCTCTGGCAGTGGGCAGAAAGAATGTTCTAGATCACACACGTGTAGCCACACGGGCATTCAGGTAGCAGTTTGTTAGAGCAGTTCCAATCAGCCAGTTGTCCTAGACTATCTCTCCAATCACCTTTACACGTGGTTGCTCCCCATCGAATTAGACTGTTAGTTTGTTAGCCTAGATAGGACACGCGTCCTCGCCCTATTAGTTCAGCATCTTTTTACTTGGGCACTAAGTATTGCCTTTTCAGTATAATTATCACCTTCCAGCTTGTGGAAAGGAATCACAATTTGTATTCTCTAGCTGTTACTCTGCAGAAATATCTACATGAATTTTCCGATCAACTCTTTCTTTCTCTTATTCTACTTGGATTCCGGCTACCCCCAGTTCGGTAATCCATCATTTTTGGTGCTTTCATTGAGAGCTGAACTGTGAATCAGGTCAGATCAAATCCTCCCACTTTTCCTAGATCTACAACAAGCTTTCTTTTTAACAATGACTGGAAAGAGATTTATGAGAAACAGACACGCCGCTGCCGCCGTCGCCCAAGCTGAGCCCTCGCTGGAAGCTACTGCTACTTCCGGTGCTAGGAGATTCGCTAAGGGGAAACAAGTCGCTCAGGCTTCTACGGATCTGCGTAGCTAGATCCAGTGTACTTCTCTAGATCTCCGCCGGCAAATCTCGTTGAATCGCGATGCAGCGGCAATGCCGTCCACGCAGGTGATCCCCCAATTTTAGAACCTTCTGATGGTGGATCCCTCTGGGGCGGTTGGCGCCCTCATCATTGGGCTGCAGCAGGTACTCCCCACGCTGCGGTCCCAGGCGACGACAGCCATGGCTTCCGGAGCAAACAGGCCATCTCGCCGGTGAACTCTAGATCCCGGTCGCTGAGAGTGGGTACCATTGATGCCCCTTCGCTGGAGGAAAGTCCACCACAAATGGTCTACCAGTCTCCTCCCCGCCAGAGGGCTACCCTGATTCGCCAGGTGGCTTCAGGAGAACCTGTAAGTGTTGTGCCTCTAGCACAGCAGGCAGGAACTTCCTGCCCTGTTGCTGCACAACAATTCGTGGCTACACCACCACCCTCGTGCTACCGTCAAGGTACAAGGCATGTGGCGTCGACTACGGCTGCCACAATAATGAAGGATTTATGCCGTCACTACCGAGGACTCCTCGCAATCCTTCTCCCCACAGGGGCAGCAACATGACGACAACCCCAACCCCTGGGTGGGAGTGGGAAGGCGTCCCATCTTCTCCAGATTGGGGGACAAATATATGGCGAATCAGCGCCTATTTGTCAACATCCGGGGGATCAACCAGGAAAACTCCCCAGTTGTGGACATCCCCCCGAGGCATCAACAACAGCAGTAACACGGAGAAGGACTCCTGAGCACGTGCCCGCTTTGGAGAGGCTAGGGGGCAATCATTCCACCAGATCTGCCCCCCCACACCACCGACAATTGCCTTCTCCCCCAAGGGAACAACAGATCTCTCTGCCGCGCCAACAACACCAACCCTTGCGCACGCCAAGGCTCTCACCGCCTAGGCGGCAGGTGGAGTCTCCACCATGACGGCAATGCCAGGCAGATCCTAATAAGGAGGACCAAATCCGCCTCCTTACATAGCATGTGAACGAGCTAGGGGCCGCAGCAGCCACCGTAACAGCCACGACAACGCCACCACCGCCTCTCCAGCCCACGGTGCGGGACACCTAGTTGGAGGCATTGGCACTTCAGGTCCAACAGCTACAGGCTCAAGTCAGCAATGAGCCTGTTACGGTGAGGGTAAGAATTGCGACCCCCTTCACCACCAGGATTATGCAGGCCCCTATACCCCAAAGTATAAGGGGCCTACCATTCAGCTTTATGGGGGTAAATCTGACCCCCAAAAGCACTATTCTCTCTACCAGTCTGACATTTATATGTTGGGCGCCAACGACGAATACATCTGCAGGATGTTTCCCTCCACTTTGGAGGGGGGGGGGGGGGGGGGGGGCATACGACTGGTTCAACAACCTGCCAGACGAGTCCATCGACTCATGGAGGGAGTTGGCCACACGCTTCCTCACCCACTTTGCCCCTAGGGTGAGGGCGAAGAAGCACTTCTCCTATTTGTTGTCAAGTAGGGCAGAGATGAGCCCTTGAGCAAGTTTCTGGAGCGATGGAATGAGGAGACCTCCAAGGTGTATGGGGCTGACGATAACACACGTCTGGCCATGCTACAGGAGGTCCTGTGGACTGGGGGCTTCTCGAGGAGCCTTATTACAGACCCCATGGGATTATGAGCGGGCGCTCCACCGCGGGCAGAACTATGCCTTAGCGGAGGAAGTGCACAACCGCAAAAAAAGCACAGGTAATCTCCATGCGGCACATCTGCATGAAATTCTCGACTGAGTCCGGGGTCGGCTACTGCAGGGGCCCCCAGAAGATAGCCTGATCCTGTTATATCAAGATGACCAAATGGATGGTTGCCAGAGATATGTGCATCAATACTATTTCCCAGACTGCACTTCAAGAGGAAACCCCAAGGGCCGAGCCCATGGATACAGAGGAAACGGTTATCCTAGACCAGGCCAATCCGGAAAGAGCTGTTAAAATTGGGACGAATCTGCAGCCAGGACTGAGACAAACTATGATCTCTATTCTTGTTAAATACAAGGTCATTTTCATCCTAGGTCCTGATGAGATGCCAGGGATAAGTCGTGACATAATCACGCACAAGCTGACCGTGGATCCCAACGCGATGCCTGTCAAACAGCGCAAGCGGTACCTGTCTATGGACAGGCGAGAATTCATCAAGACTGAGGTGACTATGCTCCTTAGCATAAATCACATCGCTAAAGTCGAATACCCGGATTGGCTCACAAATGTTGTTCTGGCACCCAAGCCACCAACATTTCGTATGTGCGTTGATTATACCAACCTCAACAAGGCTTGCCCGATGGATCCACTTCCGCTGCCAACTAATGTCAAGATGTTAACTAATTATCATCTTAGCAACACTCCCCAACATTGATATAGAGATAGTATTAAGGAAAGAACTAATAATTAATATTCAAGGAAGAAGATTAAAGAAAATAACTCAGAACTTACAATTCATTAAGCTTCAAAGTAGCAAAACCAAGATGGAAGAGTTTAGCTCCTCATTTGGAGACTAAACATGATGAAAATATAAAGAAAGAACTAATCTAGACTGAGCTTAGAAGTATAAAGGAATTGGTTCTTTTATTGTGAAGGAAAGGGGTGTATTTATAGGCTTTTGGGCCTGCAGGGTCTTATACCCGACCGGGTGTATAGGATACCCGATCGGGTATCTTAGGAAATTTCCCAGAAAATGACTTTTCCGGACATACCCTATCGGGTATGTTGGCATACCCGATCGGGTATGAGCCAAAAAATCAAAATCCTGCACATTTTCTTGTCTTTCCAGATTCTGATTTTGACACCCGAATCAACTCAATACCCGATCGGGTATGCCGGTGTACCCGACCGGGTATGT